TAACTCCTGGAGGAGAAAATACTGTTCAGGGTGGCTACGAGTAGGAACGTTGGGTTGAGGGTGGCTTTAGCTTGCGTTCCGGGAGTACCACGTGGAAGTTGTCATCATTCCGCACCATCGCTAGGCACCATCTGCACAAGTGACGTTACGAAGAAACCCCAAAGTGTGATTGCGGCTACGCAGACCAGACGGTCGACCAAATCGTCAAGCAGGGCGAATCAAGAAATTTCAAGAAAGGAATCGGTGCATGACTTGCATTGGAAATCGATTCCATTGCCTGACTGTGCAAATTGGATTTCGACTTATAGCCGCTGCTGCCATGTGCAAGAATCTGACTGGAGGTTCGGATCTGTGGATTAAATTATTCTTATGAACGACTAGTTGTTTATTCGTAATTCTCTTAAACTTGCAGTTGACGTGTAAACAAGATAATATTAGACTTCCATTTATACCTAAAACACGGAGACAGAGTGAGAAGTGTTTGAAAGAACCATTTCTGCTTCTTCTACATTTCGATAAGGGCTAAAGAGGCTTGGTGTTGCAACTAGAGGCAAAGAATGTCTCCTCGGTGAAAATCGAAGGCGGAAGACACTCTCAGATGAAAGAAGACGATTTGTTTGACTTGATCTGCAAAAGTATTTTTGTCTTTTTCTCGTATTTGGCACAACAAAGCGCAAAAAGCTGCTCTAGGCATTGAAAGTTGCTAGGACAAGGGCAAAGGGATCGTTCGGAAAGAAACTTAACTTTGACTACCGAGTGGCTAAAAAGGTATTCTGCAAAGCAATGCGATCTTATGATCAAACATCGGGTACCGGAGGGCTATGAAGATTTCAGCCCAAAACAGTTTAGACTTTTACCTAACGAAGTGGACTTCCTCAAAGCGAGGAATGAATATTTTGGGAATAAGTGCTGACTAAGTGCTGATTTCAAGGATCTTATCGATACGAAGTGTATTTTTAAAAGGAAAGTATCCTTACAGTGGAAGAAATGGCAGCAACGGTTAAACAGCTGAAAGAGGAACACCGAGGGATAGAAATTCCCATTTAATACGCGAAAAGCGTTAAATTGTCATCCCATCATGTTCCTGACTCGTGTTTGCTAGATTCCCAGAAAGGCACGGAAGTAAGGATAGTATGTTTGTGCTGTCTCCTCTCCTGTCCATAATCAGCGCATGTTCATGGATTGAAAGACCCAGTCCAGCCTAGAGAACGTAACAGTTGGACAGATTCGAAAGTCCGACGACTGAGCAACTGTTGTTCACGGATTGTCGCTTTAAGTTAGCTTCCGTTAACGTTGACTTCTAAAGTAAACTTTGAATAGATTCATTGCCAATTGCCATTTCACCGATATGCAGATCAGCCTGGCCAAAACCGACAGTTTTATGTTGTTGAGATCCGCAAAGCTAATGGAGTGCATTTGAGGTAAGTGGCAATGTACACAAAGTAGGATTCACGAGTGACAACGATCAGAGCGTCGAAACAAACGGGTACGTCAAGCGAACGCGGAAACGAGAAAGGTAAACGTAAACCGGTCTCTGCAAAGAGCTGAGAATAGAACAAAGCATCTAACTTTCATGCCTTTTTACGCTCATACTTTCACTTGCTTGTAGTCTTGCGTACTGGGTTTCGTTTGTACATGAACGATACGGAATATGAGAGGAAAGTTCGATTTCAGCGACGGATTTCTGGTGTGACGGAGCTCGATGTACTTCAGAAAGCGTTTTACCTTTGCCTGCAGCTGTTTCTCCATATTGAGAGATCAGAATCGCGATGTTTAGGTCACGTGATCAGGTCATCATATTAGACTCTCAGAGGATAAAGAGTGTTTACAGGGACAGACTCATTAGACATATGGCAGCCGAATCTCCTACCAATGGCGTTGCCATATTGAATGCCTGACGTTGTCTCGTTTTCAATTGACCAATGAATGTTGCATCATTTGCAAAATACTAGAATTATTTGCAAAAATTCCTAAGGTTGTTGCCTGGTGACTTGAAAGAAGTTGCATGCATTAAAGGCAGTTACGACGCATTGGCCGATTTAGAAGTTGCTACAGTATGATGTCGTGGTGAAGTTTTTTAGTGTTTACGAAACTTGGTAATGATGTTGGATGCAAGCATTTTAAATCCGTGCAAAAATCGGTTTGATAGATAGTCGTATAAACTCTTTAAAGTATAAAATGTAAACTAAAAATCTGAAAGAAAAATATGCTGTTAAACATTTTGTTGACCGTTGACCCGCTGTTTGTCCTTCATCTGGTTTCTCATATTCGTAGAATAGAACTTCATTATGAGGAAATTTTCAAATATATCATGAAATTCTGATTTATTAGTATATCAGGATTTAGGAGAAAACCCAGTGCATGTCTCTTTGAACAGCAAGTTTGAAGACTATCTCATGCTGTTCCATGTGTTTGAAAATAAATATGTTGATTGACCAGGTTATAACCGTGTAACCTCAACTGAGTACGATGTGGCCGACATATGGGCAAAGGTTCCTAAAATTAAATGCCTAGCGCTTTATCGTTCCCCTGCCTGCTGGGCTCCGCAGACAAATGGGGAGCAGTGGAATAGGTGAAGAATTTGGCATAAGGCGGGGGTCTTACTAGCAGTGAAGGAAAATGAGTAAAAGATATTGACCGACGAATTGGGATGGTTAGCGGTCTTCTGATGAATTAACAAAGACCACTATTTTCAAGGCAGAGCTGAGCTTGAAGACGAAGTTCTCCATTATAGTCGATTTATGTCCAATTCCCACCTATAGTCATGAGTCATGGGCCATAAATTGAAAACTGGGATCCGGGGCAAAAGCGGCTGAAGTGGACTTTCTGAGACAAGTCGCTGGGCTCTCCCGTCGTGACAGTGCCCGCAGTTCAGATGTCTGAGAAAGCCTTAATGTACAGTCATTGTCTCTCCAAATTGAGACGCGACGGCTGAGATTATATGGACTCTTGGGTGAAAGCAGCTACTAATTGTTCAATGAACTGGTCAGCGACCTTGGGAAGGCCAAAGATGAGCCGAAGCAAGTGCAAGCCTCGACGGACTCTTCTCGAAACTCGGGTTTTCTTCTGCAGAATTTCAGACTGGCACAGGATTGGGAGCGTTTAAGATACTGTCTGACGAGGTTGCCTCCACAATCTGAAAGGATAAGCAGCCATTGAAACTGACTAATTGATGCATAGTCTAATTAACCACTGACTAATTGTGACTAATTGACTGAACTGTTTCACTACAATACAATGCATAATACGATTCTGCAGACTTTGTTCTATAACTGTGCGTAGAAGTGCAATTCAAAAATTGCGAAATTTTCAGGTTGTAATCCCATGCTTCAGGTTTCTTGTGACAATAACTTAGGTAGTATCTAAATTTCTGGCTTATGAGTTTTTGAAGTGAAGCTGGAAATGCGAAATCCTCGTGTGATATTTGTGTTACGCATAAACTGATGAGTTGAACAGACAGTCTGATTTAATGCAAAACGTTCGAAGATCTCTGGAAGAAACCTCTTACGCTGTCCCTTAAGTCTGGCAGTTTAAATTCTTGGTAGGCTAGTCCTGACTGTGTTAGCCTCTTGAAAAGCGGTTCGCTGTTCGATAAATGTGCGCGATTTTGCAAGGCTGCCTGCAGATTCAAAGCATTTATTGAAGAGTGTCGTGGCGAGCTGAAATTCAAATACCTTCCGATGAGTCTGGCATCAGACTTAGTTTCGTACATGAAGACAGAGGCGGTCGACGAGCGTCAGTGTGTTAAATACTGCTATGAGCGTCTCAGCTACTGCACCAGTGTGATATTCATGGCACCGGACAGTTGTCAGTTTTCCTACTGGCAAACGGAAGTCTGTCGAAACCTGGCATATGGAAATGCCGCTAGTGGAAGTGACCGGAAACGAATCGGTTGTATTACGTGTTCCGAGGGTAAGCGCAAACTGATTGTTCATTCCCTTGTCTTGCTATTAACCGTTTCAGACAGTCATACAGAGAACGTAATAATCGAAGAGGCCATCGACGCTGCGCCGAAGAAACTTTCAGACACCCAGCCGATTCCAGCTACCGAAGTCAACTCAAAGCAAGCGTCACTGCACGGTAATAAAGCATTATGCCGGAAATGAGGCACCTCACTTTTACCAGATGTAGGTCGAGTAAGGCGTATAGTAAAACCAGCCATTTGATCAAATACTACACTAAGCGGCATATTAGCGCACGACTCCTCCAAGACCAGATTTCACAGCGGGTTGCACCACCCTTTGTTTCTAGTTGCTTGAGGGCATTTAAACAGGATCAGCAAGGAGCAAGGGACGCCGTGAAATTTGGTCTTGGATGAGTCACGCGTTATTTGACATACTCCGGCGTACGAACAACTTCTCATTTGTATGCAACAGCATATAAGGAGCATCAGCACCTGAAACATCGTTCATTTTGAGCGCGAGATTGCTTTAGCGGACAAAATGATGCGATCTACATCTGGTATGGCAAGTACTGAAACACGATAGAACCGTGGTATGCTTAAATTGCCCTCCTCCCTAAGCAAACAGGAGCAAAGGAACAGTGCAACATGCCGCGAAATCTGATCTTCGAACAGTCAAACGTTATTTGACATACTCTGGAGTACGAACAGCTTCTTATGTTTAATCGGCATATTACAGTAATTAAATTGGTCAATACAATGACTCTGTGGAACAGTTGTGGTATCCCACCTCCTGACAGACAGACGCAGCCGGAGTGGGGCATTGCCTCTCCTCGGTTGTCAGTGTGTCCTAATGTCGCCTGTTGCACAGTGCGCGATCGATGTCAGTGACTTCGGTTTCTGCACCATTAAGAGTGACAAGGTGCAAAGCCCTTTCGTCTACCGGAAGGCGAACGAATGCCGGGGTGACACTGCATTTGCGAGCGCCGTTCAGCGGAGAATCTAGCAGTGAATCCAATTCGTCCTGGTTCTAGAGGTGTGAAAAATTCTTAGCGTGAAAGATTTGATTCGCTCTATTGTGCACGATAATGAGCTTGATTTTAATTTGACTGCGTATTGTTTCCACATTGCACTAATTTTCGTTTCGCAAAACAGGCTTCACGCATAATCCGGCATTTCTTGAATCTTAAGTGTTGTAGGCGAAAAAAAGAACTTTCCCGTCTCTGCCTCAGCATCGAATCAAAGCCTGACAAACGAAAGAAAGAACCCCGACACCGAAACTGTCAAGTCGAAGTTTCTCGGTAAGTTGTAATCAGCGGTGTGAAATTTTTGTTTGTCTTTTTCGATGCCAAAGCAGGTGCTGAAACTGCGACCTGAAAATCATTATGCGTCAATCAGCCAGTCAGTTCAGTGTTACCTCTTGTCCTAAGGGCAGTAGGCACAAACGCATAATGGTCCAGTATTTTCTTTATAGATTAAAGATAATAATTCTCTTGGATAGATCTGCTAGCAGCATGGGAGGAAACCTGTTCAGCAGTTTTTCTTTACCAGTGGGCCATTATCTGATTGCCTCACAGTCAATGATAAGTTTTTCTAGTTCCGTAGTGGCTGATGTCAGCGTGAGATTCTAGTGTACTTCGCTCTGAGGAGTGCACAGACTCAGTCGCTGTGTACGACAAGTTGAATTTCAGAGAAATCCTGCGTTGGCAAATGACTTCCACAGGAAGACCTGTGTTGATATCGGGGGGAGGGGTTTGCGTTGCCACTTCGGTCAGCATAAGTGACCGCGATCATTTGACTAGTACAACAGCCGCTTGTCGTTCAGCAAACTAGTATTTTATTTCGATTGATACACAATTCAAAACGGACTGCTTAGTTACATTTATTTTGGAACGACTAACTTTTCGCAACCGATCCTAGTTATGAAAAAGCATCGTCCCGTGCAGCTGATATTATCAGCTGTTAAGAGACATTGTCGTTATGCTATGGTGACATAACGTTCGCTTCTATCTTATGATTCGCTGGAAATAAAACAGTACGAGAAAACAAACATCCACGCTGGGCATTGCACAAGGGGCATGAATGACACATTAAAATATTTCATGTAAAGAGAACCGAGTTATGATACACTGAAGGTGATGAACATGAAAATACAGAAAAGCAGACCATCACAGATCAGGAGAATCATTTAGTGCCCAATATATATTTTGTTGTATTTTTTCGTGTTTCGACTTTGAGCCTGAATTTGTCGAATCAGGTTGGACCCTACTGCACAACGGAAGTCAGTCATATCGTAGTTGCACAACCACTAGCAGTCGATGTACCAGTACGCGATGCGAACCTCTGTCGAAGGGCTCTTCATCATTGTCAAGCGTTTTAAACAAAGTGATTGATTCGTTCACCCTCGTTTAAGGTGCGTGGAGGCAGAGCGCCTGAAAGGTCGATTTCGAACCTTGGAGATGCCGAGTTCGAATTCGGCGGAGGAACAATCTTTGCTTTAATCGCGAACCCTTGAGTAAGCAGTTTACCATACATGGCTTCAAACCGAGGTTGCTCAATCGATCAGAAGGTCGTTCACACACTCAGAACTAAGAGATTCTGAGTTACAGTCCAGATCGCAGCCACCGGATTTTTTCTCCTTTCGAGGTTGATAAATGAGTACTACTGCGTGAGAAGAACACAGAGACTAATCATTACACTTGTCAAAGAGCTGCTAAGAGTTAAGTTAATGAAATGAAGGGCACGCTAGTGGCCCCTAGCCATGAAAGTGTAACGCCGGTAGTCCAACAGACATTCATTTCCACTTCTGCTGTTTCGCCTTAAGTACGGTAGTGGGCCTTGTGATTCTTTGAATGGAGTCCAGAAAAATCATCAATTAAGCGACTACAGAAAAAATAGTTTCAGAACAGTTCCGAACGCTTAACGGTAATGCCGGGAAGGCTGTCTCTCCGTTCTTTTCATGAATTAGTTTTACTTTTCTTTATGCAACTGTCAAACGTGACCCGAAAGTTTGACTGAATTCAGCAGTCGCGTCGAAAATTCGACTGTCTCCTGCCAAGGCCACCGAAATTTGTCTACTCTGTTGATTCGCTGGTGACAGACGATAGGTCAGACGCCCTTCAAAACTGTGGGCGCGTTTCATTTTTCAGAATTGGTGCACATTTATTGAAATGGCTCAGCAGGCGGTTAATTTCGTATTCACTCGCTCAAATGTTGTCATCTACGATTCGCCACTTGAGGTTTTTAATGTGTCTCGGAGCCATACTGCTGTGAATCACCGAAATGAAACAACAGTTCAGTCGAAATGTCATAAACTGCTTTTTGATCAGGAGGTAAACGTATACAAAAGCTGTTTAATGTATGTCATCCCTCAAATCAGCTCGTCGGAGTAGCTCCTCGTCGCAGATGTGTCATAAGACACGAGCGTCATCTTAATTGTCACTATCTAGTTAGCAGACTCTAGTTCGCGACAAGTTTCAACCACTGTCGCAGCAGATTTTTTCCAGCTAGTATTTTCAAGGAAAATATGTTCCGTTGCACCTTAGCTTGGCATATTATATTATTATTTGGTGGTAGTCTGCTCTCTACAGTGCACAGATCAGGCAGGATCTATTAATTGGACGCAAGTAGACATTCAAGCCTCCTCAAAGAAAGACATATTTCGCTATGTTGGGAGCTAGCCGCCTTGTTTTCTCCGTCATCTTTTGTGTAGGCAACATGCAAAGTCCAGACGCCACGATCTAGGCACTTAGCGACGAAAGACAAAGGTTGAGAGAAGGAACAGAATACCGAACACCTTATGGAAGAGTCCACATCTGATTTGTGATTAAAAATGACAAAATCACCAGCAAAGCTTAGAATATTAAACATGAATATGAAACAGACGTAAATAAACATGTAATAGGCATAATTAGAAAAAGGGGTGGATATGAAGTAGTTTTTCGTCAGATACCTTGTGGACAGAAAATGAAATACTTTGCATTGGACATACCGGTGACATTTTTCAGTTGTTCCAATTCATGGTACGGCATCTACAGTTGCCACATGGATATGATTATACATGGTGTAGCAGGCCGCTGAGCGGGTCTGCTTGGTGAGGGCCTATCCCGTCAGCCGCTTGAAGATTTGTTTCCATGTGAGGATAAAATATACCACTGCTTGATCGTACAACCTTATTCTCCACATTGCGAATTATTTGACAAACTATGACGCGACAAAAGTTCATCATGAGAACATTTTTTCAGCAATGCAGTGACTCTTTGATACACGTTCCTCGAACGTTAGAGTAAATCCGCGTTCGCTACCATCATGTTTACCACCTGGTGCTCTCACGATCAGTCCAAGCTAACATAACTTTTAGCAGGGCTTGCTCGGCCCTTTACAATGGATATATAAAATGTTAGAAACTGATGAACTCTTGAACATCAGCGAAAGAAACGTTGAACGCTGTAAAATGATAGTTTGTGCCACAAACCGAAACGCGGGAGTCTCAAACTGCTAATTTATAAAAGGACCTCCGCATCAAATGTCAAAGGCTAATCCATACCCAGTCGCCAGGGCTGCCCATTCGACGAATTGCCAAATCTGGTGGATTCGAATCTCGGCCAGATTGCTGGCCTTTCATCATTGCGAAGTAGTATAATGAGACAACACTGGCGGAAATTTTTCAGAAGTTAAACACTCTTGACTAATCGCTTCACAACGGGGTTCAGACTCCACATCCTAAATTCCAAGATAGACGAAAGATGCCACAAATGGCACCGTTCATGAAAGTTCTGACATCTTTGCGGTCAGGAGCTTTCTTTTCTTCTTTTCCTCGCTATGCGATGCCATGTTATGAGAAACGCAGTCATCGCCGACACACTGACGAACCTTCAGACCTTGACTTAGTGCCACCTGTTTGGTCACTTGTTTGCGCCATGACATTTGTGAGCATTCGCAATGGAAACCTCATTCACAAATGACAGCGGCACTTCGTCTAATTACTGGAAATATGAACGAAACAGATAGATCAGATTTGCCCATCAATCACGAAAACGGCGCTAGCCGCAATTACACTGGACTCGATTTCACGCAATGGTCCTATTTTAGGTCAAGGCGGGAAATTGTTTTTTTTAATGATTTTATGCATGTTCGTTTCTTTATTGGGGAGATTGGATAGCGGCAACTTGAAGAATCTCTGCCAGAAAAAGAGAAGCACATCGTGCTGTATTGCCATTTGTTGTTCGTTCAAACGGTCATCGATAGATTTGTTGTTGATGAAAGATTTTCGTTTGTTAATAGGCTGTTTCTTATAATTTCGACTTTCTACGTGATTTACTTTAGAATGCAAGAACTTGACCTATTCGTTTCGACCGACCCTACTGCGACACATTCCGCCAGTGATATCGGTGCTGGAGGACGCAAAGAGTATTCATCAGTGCGCCGAGTCATGTTACATGACTCAGTTCTGCATCTCAGCCATCTTTGAAATGGACTCCGGTCGTTGCTTCCATTCGTATAAAAAACATGCATGCGTGCACTCGTCAATGCCAGTAGGCTACTCAGGCGCCGTTGCCATCGGCTGCCTACAGTGTGACAACTGAGAAAGTTTTCCATGTGTTATCGGAAGCTGGTCGATTATTTGCGCAGGTCATCGTCCACATTGCGCCTTGGTGCTGTTCATGTCGAAACTGTTTGATACTGAGACAATTAACGATTAGAAACCATAATGCTAATCATATATGCTGTCATAAATTTGTCTGATCGACTCGTGCGGTTCGACGAAAATGTTTAAAAACTTTTACTATTGAATTCACTAAACCAAAAATTAAGGATAACGATCATAAACGATGTCATTAGTTGGGCAATAAAATGCTTTGCAAAAAATGACTTTAATATCTTCCACATTAGTGTCACAAGAAGGCCTAACAATGACCTAAGAAAAATATACACATTATTCTCCAGTCAATAAAATAGCTTCAACTTCAGTAGCATTTACCACATTTGCTCTTCACTCCTCAGCCATGAAGCAGAAAACCATTGGCGCTGAGAAAATACCTTTGAAATGCAGCATATGAAAGTAAATTCATGAATATGACTAGAATCACTCGGTAGCATCTGACTCAAAACCAAGATGTCACGGGTTCTACCGCGGTCTGGCCCATAGCTTTTCTTCCGATGTCGATAAATGAACACCACTGTGGGAAATAAACAGAAGACTACACGCTATACCTATCATGTAGTTGTTGCCGTCTTTAATGTAAAACACTCCTGGATGATGGCATGATAATGGAGATCAGCGCCCCACCGTTAGCTTCATGAAAAGAGCGCCAGGAATGGCCACATCATAAAATGTAATGATCACCGATTAGCACTTACTAACAGTTTAGTTGGCCATGTCCGGAAGATCGCAGTATCGTTATACGGAGGGCCGTGACCTCGCACAAACTTGTATAAATACGAGTTTCAATTTCGAATTTAACAGAACCATTTAAAGTCTGTCCATCACACTGTCGCATAATCTCCTGCACTGCTAGGATTATAATTCCTTTCTTTCAGATTTCAGGTAATTTGTTCTCCGTTCAAATAAGATGAAACAGTCGCCTACGTCATCGAAATAAACCAACTCTGCTTGTGACCCGCCCATACCAAACGATCTGTTTTCATGGGACACTTCAAGTCTCTGCCAATTTTGCTTGATGAGTGATCAAAGAATGCCTCTAGTGGTTTCCGGCTACTGGCGAAAGTCCATTAAGAAACTACTAGTTACTAACGAATGATCATGTTCCTCAAGGAAGCTAGAACCCACAAGCTGATGCGCATCGATTTTTTAATTCGTCTTCAGATCTTGAAATAAGCATGTTGACGAATAGGAAACATCTACAAGTAGCTTGACAGCCCAAAAATGGCAGTATCTATGGCCATGTTCCATAAAAAACTGAAAGGTGACTAGCTAACTGATTATTACGGTACTCGTTAAGAAACACCATATTTCCATGCTAAGAAAACGGAAAGCACAAACGATCAACCTCCTAGCACCCTTCAGTTGTTGTTCATCATGCTGTACGTGATAAAAGATTAGAGGGTTCTAAGACAATGTTGACTGAGCAAAATATTGCTTCATTTACGAAAATTTATTGAGTTTTATTAATTCCGGTCTTTGTAAGCCATACGCTGCCAAAAAAAGAAATTATGTAGTTTTTGAGTGCGTCAAAACCAACAGCCATAAAACAATTTCACAAACCCTCTACCAACTGTCCATAAAGAGGATCCTATAAAAAACTCACACAAAGAATAAGCTCAATCCGGTCTTAAGTGAAACTGTAGAGATAAAACAAACGTCGTCTACCAGTGGTTAGCTTACTGTAACAACATACCCATGGAGCAAGTCCAGCAAACATTCTCAGTTGCATAGTAATTTTGGGCAGGTTTTCAAAACAAGTACAAAATTTCAGCAACTTTACCCCTGACGAGGAGGCAATCTGTTGTTCCCAAAGAATTCACGCGACGTATTCTTTAAGGTAGGTCCTTTTTGATCAATTTCGGTACAACAATGCATGCTGCGATTTTCATCGAGAAAGTGATTGTATTCAAATTAAGAAGTCGGCGGTCAATCTTACCATTCCTCATTAGGGTTCTTTGGCAACAGAATGAAGACTGCCTGTTAATTGCTTAAGCATGAAGAACTAAGAGCGTCAATATATCGCTAAGTGTGTATATTTGTCAGTGTTTTTCTTCACCGTACCATTTATGCTCGCAATTGTTATGGAACATTTCTGCATTGAAAACAGCTGTGGTTGTTCAAGCAAACTTGATTGACTGATCGAAAAAACGGATGCTATATCGGGAGAGGGGGGTTACATGGTAACTATGTGGAAAATGAAAATATCAAATGAGGCATCGCATTCAGTCGATTACAGTTTAACGGTAACGGCCTTTTTGATTTTACTGAGAAAATGGATCTATTTTCTTTTTTACCAATCATAAACGGGCTTACTTTGCATAGTCATGGTACTACCGAACCGAATTGCCCGACATTTCAGGTCATACTCAGTCTATCCTCAGAGACCATTTTATACACACAAATCGTCAAAGAACAGCGATACTGCTAATAACTGCACGTTGATAATTTGTGCATGATATGCCCCTTGAGGATTTGATCGAGTACGATCCGAAACTTTGGACACTTCTGATACCTTGACCATCCGAAGTAAATACATTTGTGATTATAGTGAAGAATTATTTCGGGATACAATAATCTATTCACGCTTATTAAACATACCAATTGTTGTCATCATTCCGGCAAACAGGTCCAAATTTAATGATCAGAACTGAGTTTAGTAATGGACAACACGTGTTTCTACCATAAAAGTCGATATGCTCAGGAAAAATTCACTTTCAATAATTTTTGCTTGACTCAATACAAATTTAAGCAGAGCAATACGTCCTTGTCAGTTTCGCCGTCCATACAATGTCTTGTTTTAGTTAAAGGTAAAGATGTTACCAAATTAAATTAAGAAACAAGGCTTATGTTACGAATTATTGATATTGAAGGCAGATAGGGGCAAACAGGATTCTGACTCCTAGAAAAGTTTTGCTTTATTTTTCTGCTAACTTTTTTACCATCACATTCCATTATCGGCCGTATTTGCAGACCGTCTTGGGTCCTAGGTGCCAGCTGACTAAGAATCTCATGTAGTGTCAACTTCTTACCGAAAGAGAGACTTTTGGCATAACACAAATCGAACTCAATCTCATTATACTTTATTGCACACTGTTCTTATGAAAGTGAGCAATGTTTTGATATTTAAACGGATGACTGCCGAATATATTTACGTACAGAGAACAGTTTTACGACCTCAGCTTCAGTTAACCAGTTAAGCGTTACAGAGAAAGGTAGCCCTTTTATTCGTTCCATAAAGTTAAGATATCTCAGTTACAGACTGTGAGACAGAACAGAGCAAATCGCGTATTAAGCAAACACGCATCGTTACAACTTTCAAGAAACAAACAAGTATCGGCAACAGACAATCGAGTAAGCTTTATCCCTCAGTGAATCTTATGAATTACAAGGTTGATTTCATTCCAATCCATTTGGATAATCGACCAATGCGATTCAGAGAACAATCCTGGAACGGAAAATCCTTTGTACTTGAACTTGTGGCGTAAATCCAACACTCAAATCGCCATACGGTTAACGAAGGACAACGAATATGAACTAGTAGTAGTCGGCCGATGAACGGATCACGCAAAGCCCAAATGGCCCTGAACAAGACTGTTTACTTTTTCAATGAATAAACTACTAGTGATAAAATGATTTGATAAGGCCACAGGATTTCGGGACACGTATGGTACGTATGCCTAAAAAGTCCGAAACATCAAAAGAGCATTTTTAAAGCATGTTGACGTGATTGTATTCAGCTAAAAAACCATCCTTATCGTATAAATGCCACATAAAAAACAGCATATGAAAATGCAAAATTTTATGTAAACGTTAAGTAAAGAGGAGTTGTAGCACAGTGGTAAAGAAGTCGCCTTCGAACTCCGCACGTGCCAGGTTCGACTCATCGAAAATAAAATTTCCCTTTAACTGCTGATTCCTTTGAGCAAGGAATTCATCCTACATTCTTCAGTGTAACCAGCTGAGAAACAATTCGTTGTCTGTACACAGCGTTAAACGGTATTGGGTGCTTCCTTTAGAAAAAAGGCCAGAGAAAAATGGCCCGTTCAGTTACGCACAACAAACTAGTCATTAACGTACCGCAGCCATGAAACAAGATACCCGTGCACTTTTGTACTCACTTGACAAAACTGAACATTTCCGAAGTACACTTAAACATTTCAAAGGTGCACTGCACCGCAATTTTATGGTCACTTAATCTACAAAACATCCAAAGATGGCCAGCGAAACGGACAAATGAGTCATTAGTGCATAAAAGACCGTCATGCACTGAGACTTTCCCTCGATGGTTTTATTAGAATTGAGAAAAATTTCGAAGACAATAAAAAGAAAATGGAATTCATTTTACTAGAAGAAGAAGCAATAACAAACCGAAACCAACAATATTCAGTGTTTCATTATGGAAGAAACCAGAGTCAGAAGTCGACAGATTGGCTGATTCGGCAGAAAATCCAAAGGAATAGGTGAAAAAAGAGAAAGACGCAGGATCACATCAAAAATGCTGTGACGCAACAGAAAACGAGCGTTGAACACCGCTACAGCAATACATTTGAAATGTGATCAG